ATACTGCTTTTGTTGTCTTCTTTTTTTCATCTACATGTATGACATCTGATAGTCAGTCTGCTTTCAACACACAGTGGAAAAAAATTGAAAAGTTAAGTGCCCATGAAAATAGTGACAATCATCATGAGTCATTTGCTGCTTGGAAAGAAACTAAGCACCGAATTTGTCTTCCAAGTGGCATTGATGAAGAGCTGCAAAGGCAAATTCAGCAAGAAAAAAATAAATGGAGATATATACTGCGACGGTTGCTGGAATGTACACAATATGTAGCTTCTCAGAATCTTGCATTTTATGGTCATACTGAGGATATAACCTCAAACGAAAATCCTGGAAATTTCCTGTCACTTTTGCAGTTATTAGCAAAGTATGATCCAGCAATGAGAGAACATTTAGAGCATGTTAAAAACAATCAAACGTCAACATCTTATCTTTCTCCTGAAATCCAAGATGAGTTTATAAATCTCATGGCTTCACATGTGCAAAATTATTGTTTATCAGCAATTCGTAGAATCAAATACTATGGTATTCTGTTTGATTCCACATCTGATTTAGTCCATCGTGAGCAATTGGCCCAAGTGATTCGGTTTGTTGACATTGACTTTAAGACAAGAAAAGTAAAAGTCAAAAACGCTGCCAATATTGAGAAAACAATAAGCACAAAATTAGAAGTGGATGGAATTTTATTGAGTGATTGTTGTTCACAATGTTATGATAATGCTTCTGTCATGTCAGGTCATCTGTCAGGCATTCAACACATAATTCTGAACAAAAATCCAAAAGCAGTGTTTATAAACTGTGACAACCATAGTTTGAACTTAGCGTGCTGCATTAAAGACTGTAGAATGTTGATAAGTAAAAGAACACAGACCGATTTTTCTGAACCAATGGTTGCAACTGATTTGCTAACATTTATAATTTCATATGATGAAGATGTTTTCCCAAGTCTAAGAATTGCATTGCAGATTTTGTTAACAATTGGGGTTTCTATTGCTAGTTGTGAAAGGTCCTTCAGCAAGCTGAAATTAATTCTTACATACTTGAGAACCTCAATGACTCAAGAACGACTTAGTAACTTGGCAATATTAAGTATTGAAAAAGATGTACTTAATACCTTAAATTTTGATAGTTTATTGATGCATTTTTGCAGGAGCAAAAGCACAAAAGGTTCATATAATGTAACCATGAATGCCAGAATGCTACCTATACAAGATCTAGTTAAGTATATGTACAGTTTTG